ACTTGAACTTGTCCCATCAGTTTTCAATTCCCTCAAACAAAATGATGAATAACTCATCCAAGACCAGGTTTCACGACGCACTGCACTGCATCCTGCTCCTAGTTAGCTAGGGGCCCCTTGAACAGGCCACAGCTCTGCATCGTGAACTCTGGTCCTGGAGGAGTCATTGGTTATTTGATATATATATATTACTGCACATGAACAGCTTATGATGTTAATGCGGTAGGATATGAGTGTTTAAACCTCGTTCGTGATTAGCAACGGGTGGCTCAAGGAGACAAAATAAATCAAAAGAAAATATAGACTTTTGCCCGTCTTTTGATTTCATGCTTAGAGGCACGAAGGACTACATTCATTAGTAGTGAATACTCTTTCAAATAAGTTACCAGGGAGCGTAGGCACTAATTTGAAATTATCCTCGCGTTTTGAGTCTTTCTTGCAAATGTGTCCTTGATTATGCCGCCAATGCTAGCGAGGCGGAAACATCACACGTTAAAGTAAGATCTGCTGCCTGTCAATTATGCTAATTAATTTGCGACTGAAACTGCCCAATTAAATCCGCGATCGCGAAATAAACGACAACGAAGCACGCAGGTCAACAAATCGACGAACACGTACCGTACTCCCGTCTGCAAAACCGCTTTCGATTCAGTCGTTTCGGTGACGCCCTGCATCGGGGGCATTTTCCTAGAAACAGACTCGTTTAGAAGTTGCCTCACGACTTCTAGCCTTGCCGCAACGACGGACGCATGCCATCAGACAATGGAACAATTATGGTGACGTCATAGGGTAAGCATGTGGGATTAGGTCGACTTTTACGAGCTGGCAATAATTGACGAGTTCGACGACGACCGGCGATTACGTGATGTGTGGTCAGTTCAGGAATGGCATGGGCAACGGGTGGCTGATTGTGGACCAGGGCCAATCCCTTTGGGACGAAACAGCATCGAAGGCTTACTGGTCAAATGGTCAGTTTCACCTACCACCACCCACTATACATCTAGCGATAACGATCGACACCGGTCGTAATTCGCGGCCATTCAAAGAGAAAGCAAATTCCTATGAACGCGTTACAATAAAGGCCAGCACACGGGGGGGAGGCAGCAATCCTTCTCATCGATCACAACTGTCAAACGCCCGTAAAGCAAGGTTGAAAACTGAACGCCGCGATGACTATTGGCAACTTACTTCAACCCGCAAATGGAGGGCAAACTCGCCAATTAGACCACGCCAACATCCAATTTTGATACGCTGTCTATTTACGACTTTAATGTACTCGGTTTGCCCCAGATTGAGAAGGAGTAAATTTGGTGACTAACCATGGTTGGCTGTGTTTTCTTTACATAGGATACTGTTGGACCTACCAAAAGAGAGAAGACTGTGAGGTCTGCTGGTGGGGCGAATCAGTTCTCCTTTTTCCATGGCTGATAAATAGGTATCCCTTGGTTCGGCATTGCGGTCGTCGTCATCCGAGGTATCAGGATCAAAGACCGAGTACCCAAAATAACGATTATGCTGTGGCTTCTCAAAATGATTTAGGCGATGTTCATTGCTGCAGCAAAGATCATATTTTTCGTCGCAGGCAAGTCGGTCACCAGCAGTTACTGTAGGGTGCGATAGTTGGCTATGACGGACCTGAGGACACTTTTCTGCTTCCTAGAGGAGAATAATTTTGGATACGCCTCCGTTCTCTCTCAGATGTTTCTGTCAAACTGCGACAGGTGCCGGTCGCTGATTTCTTCAGACAGAATTCTCAGGCCGGCATCATCAACATCTTGTTGCTCTTCATTCGATAGAACCATCTCACTTTCAGAATTTTCCTCGACAACTCTGCTGAAGTGTTCAACGTCCTTTGGTGACGGCTTAAGGACGTGAATTTTTTGAGATTGTACATCAAGACTGAGAGATTCGACGATATAGTGCTATAGTGCACTGCTGATTGCAAATAGGAGACGAAAATTAACACAGCACTGTAATATATGAAAAGAATGCGGTCACAAATTCCCTGAACCATGCAGGCCTGAGAAATATCAATATCCAAATAGTCACCAGCTTTCTTTTGTCCTTGTTGCTTGGCCGCGGGACGCGGTAGCACAACGGTAGGAGGTCAGCTTAGATCTACGGAAATCCAGGTTCGAATCCCGAAAGTGAAAGTAGTCTCTTTAAACCCTAATTCCCTTGAGCAAAGAATTCTGAAAAATATGGGCGCAAGGTCGCTGACCTGCCGAGTGTTTGGAGCAGCATACTGTTCGGATGTGGTCATACCATAATTGAAGAC